TCTTAGTGCGCACTTGTGCAAGTAACCGAATTCTCTATTAGAAACAGCTTATTTGCAGACCCATGTTTATTAAGATTTTTTATTTATTTTAGGGCATACAAAATCATTTTAAGATATTTTATCTTTTTTTTCAACATCCTGTATATACAGTGTGGGACATTTTATTCGACGCACGGGAATTACTGCGAAGATAGGGTTTATAGCACAAAATGTTTCAAACAAAAGTTATATAGTTTGATGGAAGACATAAGAAGGTACCATTGGTTTGACCTTAGGTGGCATCGCCACTAGGTTAGGTCAAGATCAACTTTGTTTTTTAAATAGAAACATATATTTTTTATTACGGAATTTTATTCTACATAAAGAAACAAATAATTTTTGTTTGAAAAAAATGTTTATACAACTTCTATTTTCTAAGATATTTACGGAAATATCTACAAAATTATTGGTTTCAATTTTTTCCTCGAATTCTATCAACTTACCGAAAAATAGCAAAAGACAAAAATTATCTATTTTTTTCTCATAGAGCTCTAAGAATTTTTTCAGGATTTTTTAATTAACTTTTTAGTACTTAAAGAAAATGCAAGAAAATGCAGTACTTTTTCGATAAAATTGATAGAATTCGAGTAAAAAATTATTGAAACCAATAATTTTGTAGATATTTCCGTAAATATTTAAAAAAATAGAGGTTGTATAAAAAATGTTTTCAAACAAAAGCTGTTTGTTTCTTTACGTAGAATAAAATTTCGTAATAAAAAATATATATTTCTTTTTAAAAAAGCAAAGTTGGCCTTGACCTAACCTTAGCGGCGCCACCCAAGGTCAAACCAATAGTACCTACTTATGTCCTCCATCGAACCATGTAACTTTTGTGTGAAACATTTTTCGCTATAAACCCTATCTTCGCAGTAATTCGCGTGCGTTGAATAAAATAACCCATCCTGTATATACATACGCGCGCGCGCACACATACACACACGATATAGTTGAATAATATTTTTATCTTAACATCACATTTTTATAACCTATTTATTTTATTTTATTTCTAACTTTTATAATAAGGAAACTTTATTTCTTCTCCTCCCGCCTCTCTTCCTTTCGCTCGTTATGAAACAAGAATTTTTTGGTTTTGAGATATTCTATTTCTATCCTTTTATGAAATAGAAGAATCGTTATAATTTGCCTCTGTTAAAACTAGCTTTAGGATCTACTACATTCGATAAAAAGTTCTAAACGGATATGTCTAATTTAAATATAAAGAAAGGAATAAAGAAATAGAAAAATATACTTTCTTATAATAATTATTATAAGAAAGTATATTTTTCTATTTATTTATTCCTTTCTTTATATTTAAATCAAGCATATCCAGGGCGTTTAGAACTTAATTATAATTAATTAAGATGACTGTTCATCGAAAAAGTTATATTACAAATTTTAAGTATAAAAGATATGCGCACGTGTTATTTGGAATCATAAGTACTTATACTCTCTCACATAATACTTACAATTTTAAATTCTCTCTCTCTCTCTCTCTCTCTCTCTCTCTCTCTCTCTCTCTCTCTCTCTCTCTCT